ATCAAGAGATCGTCGTTCATAGCCAATCAAAATCAAGAATCATCCGTGACAAAATTGGTGCGGCAGCTAGGTTCAATACTACGGATCGGGAATAACCAATTATCGGTGTGCCAAATAAGCACCAACTAATTTACTTATATAAATAAACTAAATTGGTACTTATTTGCCACACCGATGTTGGTCACTTGATCCCGAAATTTGAAATTTAGGATTATTAAATTTCATTATACTAAAAATGTATTACATATGTATGTCAAATTAATGCAAAAAATAAGAAACTAATTTTTTTAAGAGACTTGGCTTCGGTCTTTACTGAATAATTTGCGTTACATTATTTAGAATTAATTACATTTAATTTAGTAAATAAGCCAATTATATCCAAGAAGAAAATAAATTACTAATAACCTACAAATTATTAATCAAGAAAACCAAATTTTGACACCCAAAAAAATTTATATTGTTTATTTTTTGAATTGCTATTAACTTCCATTTATCCTGTTTATAGTAAATAGTTTTAAATGTTTTAATACAAAAAAGTGAAAGAATTATATTAACAAATATAGATGATAAATTAAAGAAAGTTCAAGAATATCCACCGAAGTTCTAAAGAACAAAGAACCAGTAGATGGTGAAACTGTTTATAATCAAACAAAAATAAATCGCACAGGGGTAGAAATTGTAAACTTGGTATTTAAATGTGTTCAAATTATACTCTATAATTGAACTCTATAAATACAATTTTATATATTTTCTAAATACTGTACATATGGGCAAAGCTTGATCCCTACGTACGCGTTGCACTTGGAAAAAGTGGACTGTACAAGAATGATTCTAATTAGATACTATTGTATTACCATAATTTATAATAAATTCAACCGATGTTTCGCTTGAAAATTTATCAAGATTATCCAAAATAATCTCTAATTCGGGACGTTCTTCTGGTTCCAAGGACCAGCATTTCTTATAAAGTTCTTCATATGCTGGTGGTGTACCAGGGATCCTCTTTTCTCGTTCACCGGAATAAATTCTTATAGCAATGATATATCCTATATCAATGGATGATTTTGTTGAATCTCGAAATGGAGGTGTTCCACTAGTAAGTTCCCACAGCAACACACCCAGACTATAAATATCGGATCGCTCATCACGCTTAACTTGTTTTCCAGGAATAAAGCACTGTGGCTCAATATATGCAGCCTCACCCATTGGACTCGAATTTGTTGAATAATCATCTGTAGTTTTTGATATTCCAAAATCAGCGATCAAAGGTTTACCATCGTTTATTAATACATTTTTGGAATGCTAATATATTTTAATGTAAATAACTTTGAATTTGATATAAATTAATCAATTAAATTTATAATTTATAATATCCATACCAAGTCTAGATGAATTATTTTGTTGCCATGTAAATATTTTAGTCCGAGAGCAATTCCTTTAGCAATTTGTATAATTTCTGTCCATGAAATTTTAAAAACATCCCCAGACCTTTTATTTTGCAAATACTTTCGTAAATTTCCTTCATTTGCAAGTTGTAATATAAAATTATAACTGCCAGTCCGTCGATCTATAACAAAAAACAAGCTTAGATAAAGCATTATTTAATTGTGTCATTTTAATTTTCTCGAACCTTTTGATATGCCATAGAATTTAATAATATTGGGATGTTTAATTTTGCAAAATAACCTTAGCTGAAAAATATAAAATTTGTTAGTTGATTATATCATAACGAAGAAAAAAAAAAGAGCGAAAATTACCTCATTAATGAATCTTTCGCTATTCCAATTTGTATTAATATTAAGGCTTTTCAATGCATACTTTTGTCGTTGGATGCCTACAGAGTAAACAGTCGCAGACGCACCTATATCTATAGTTTGCAAAACTTCTATTTGTGTGCATTCAAAAACTTCTATCTTATGTGTTTTCACCAAAACTTCGATCTCGTTAACTTTATTGTATTTGCCTTCACATTCTTGCGTTTCTTGAATAAGAGGTCCAAATGTGATCCTATTATGATGCTCTTCATGATAACTTGATGAATTTAGGACTTCGTCGTTATTTTCGTCAAGAACCTCACGACGGATGATACGTAAAGACATTGATAAAAATCGTCATCGTTTGTTATGGATAATGAGGGCTTAAGTTGATTCATCATTCAATAAAGATTTAAATGGCTAGAAAAAATAGTGTATCAATATTGATATCGTTAGCTCAATTTCAATAAATCCCTGCAATTAGCTAGCTCGTATGGTGATCTTCACATGTCATCATATGTTCTAATTTTTGATACCCTTCATTAATTACTGGTCAATGTATAGACAGGGCGTATTTTTCATTTATCCTCACCAATATTCAAAGGTTTATACCACCAGCCAATATTCAAAGCTACTATTCTTTAAAACATAACATTTATACTATCCGGATAAAAATCAAAT